AATTTACGCAGCTCATTTACGCACGTTTCCTGAAGATAGAAGTGAGTGTTTGTTGAATCTGACGTGACATGTTCGTACGAACCCTTTGTACGAACAAAAGTAAGAGAAATTTAGGATAAAAATACGAACATGTTCTTGCATGAGGCCCATTATTCTTTCCACAAATCATTATCCAAATCAGATAAAAGCTCAGTGTTTAAAACTTAAATGTCAGAATTATAAATTTTGATGAACATGCGTATAATTCAGACGTGGTGAAATGATTTGACAGCCTAGTTGACCAGGATCAGTCTGAAACTTTGCTTGCTAGTTCCTTTTTTATTTTTTGTGAGCTCTGCTTCACTAAGCTTCACATTTACTGTCAAACTGTTCAGTTGAAAAGCAAAGGTCATACGTTTAAATCACTCTGAAAATCCTCTWATTGACAGAAAGCCTTATTTTATAGTTCACAAACTGCACAACATGCACTTTTAGTGCATGTTTCATTATTTCATATTTTATGTTGTTTCACACATCTTTCCCCATTCACCCCCTCCCCCAAACCTTTAACTATGATTTTTTTTTCTTTTTTGCTGCACTGCATTTATGAACACAAGATCAAAGCTTGTAGCTTTGTCAGTTTAATTTGTTACATTTGAAAGGCAAAAAGAGGAAATGTTTGGAGAAAATTGGGACATTAGTTTGCAGGTCCTGTATACAAAAAAAAAAAAAAGAAAAAGAAAAAGAAAAGACTAAGAAAAATAACCAATTTAAGACATAAGTTTTTGAATATTCCCAGAGAAGGCACTAAGCTCTTCTGGGGAGGACATCACCAGTGCAGAGAAGTGTGACACGGAAGATTTAGAGAAATTGATAATTGTGTGGTCTAATCAACCCGTCACCATGCTGGCCTCCCTTCTAGATAAAACTGCCAAGGGATGAAGCAAAGCTGAAGAGCACAACTCTGCAAGCAGCTGAAAATTTTGTTCTGTCCTTCTTACAGTTACTAAAAAGAAATAAAGTCAAATAACAGACACAAAAAAGTTTGGTAGATGGACACTAAAAAAAATAATTTCAAGGCAAAAAGTAGTATACTTGAAGTTCATTTTAATAAGTATACTTGAGTATAAGTTTAAGTATATCAAGTATACTAGGCACCATGTATTTGTACTGTACTAGAAAGTATATTGATTTAAAACTTGTTTGTACTAAATTGGGGCATTTTTAACTTTATGAAAGTATACTTTCAGTTTACTGTTATGTCTTTTTAAGTTTATAAACTTACCAAAAAGACGTATACTTTAAGTACATGTCATTAGGTATACTGAAGTATATAAAAGTGTATTTCTCTAAGTGTACTTTTATTTACCATGTAAATGGATATAAGTATACTAGCAGTTTACTAACAATTATACTTCTAGAACTAAATTAGCCCACAAAAAGTTTATGAAACTATACTCAGAAGTATACTGAAAATAATCTAAGTGTAGTTTAGTTTAATCTTGAAGTATACTACAAATAAACAAGTCTGTGTGAAAAGTGTACTACTAAAGTTTATCTTGACCAAAAGTTTAAACAATAGTATAAACAAAAGTATACTTGAAATTTTAGTATACTTTTAGTACAAGCTAAGTATAGTGTAAGATAAACATGGTTAAGTATATCTCAGATAGGTACATAAAAAGTAAACTTAAAGTTTTAAAGTTTAAAATTAGTATACTTAAKGGATACTTGCATATACTACTTTTTTTTGCTAAGGGCTGTCTGGTTTAAACAAAGTGTAAACATCTCTTATTCAATCAATACCTGTTGGTCAAAACGCCCCAGCAGGCCCAGTAAAGGGAACATCTCAGTTTCACCTGAAGGACATTTCAACAAAAGGCTGACTGCTTTTGTGGGTAGTTCTTTCTTTGTTGTTGTTTTCCCTCTTTGTTGTTTTTTCCCTACCTGTATCTCTGCAGGTAAACTTGGCCTTGGGGTCACACATCCTTTTCGTGCCCTCGCAGCCTTTCTCGTCACTTCCATCCTCGCAGTCTTTGTCTCCATCACATCTCCAGCGTTCAGGGATGCAGGTTCCGTCGACGACACAGTGGAATTCATCCGCGCTGCACTCAATCACAGACGGCAGCACTGAAACCGAAGTAATTTGACAATTAATGCTTTACAGATCTATTCTACGGCACATCTCGAGAGAAAAACAACAATTATCTGTCCTCACAAGACTGGTTTTAAAATAATAACAGTATACAGCGGGTAAAATAAGTATTGAACACGTCAACATTTTTCTTAGTAAATATATTAATAGAAGTGCTAATGACATGAAATTTTCACCAGATGTTGATAACAACCCAAGTGATCCATACATACAAAGAAGTCAGACATAAATGTCCAGAAATGAAGTTATTTGTAATAATGTGGAATGGCACAGGGAAAAAGTATTGAACACATGAAGAAAGGGAGGTGTAAAAAGGTATGGAAAGACAAGACACCAGCTGAACTCTCTCAGTAATTAGAAACCTGCCCCTTGTCAGTGCAAATTAATATCAGCTGGTTCAGACCCAAATGA